ATGTTAAATTTAGTTTAATCAACGAATTGACTAGTCAATGTATTTTCCATCGACTAGTCGATAAGTGGAGGAGCTGCAGTGGGGTAAGCTCCTGGCTCCAGGAGCTAACCCTGCTGCAGCTCTTCCTTTTAAATGTATTAAGAGCCAACAGGCTCTTAATACATTTTCAAGGCTGGAACACAGCAGGGGGAACCTGGTGTAAGCTGGCCAACTGATTCTGGCGCAAAATTCCCCTGCTGTGCACCATCCTTAAATGTAAAAAGGCTGATTCCCAGCTTGCATCAGGTCTCCCCTACTGCACTTCTGATTTTTAACTGTATTAAGAGCCAGTAGGCTGTTAATACATTTAAAAAGCAGAGGCGCAGCATCTGGACTGGGCGTGAGCTGGGAATCAGCTAATTCCCAGCTCTCGCCCAGTCCACGCTACCTCCCTGCCTCCCCTGCCCCCCATGGAGATGGTGCTGGTGGGAACCAGCTTTTAACCCAGCTCCTCACAGAGACAGCAGAGGAGCGGGGAGAAGCGACTAGTCAAGGGACAGGTTGACTATCCAATAAGCTTTTGCTTATCTGATAGTCACTTACAGCCCTACTGCAGGCAAGTACAGGGCAGCACAGCCCACACTGAGTTACCTGCTTCTACATCACCATCAAAGAGGAGCTGCCTCAGGTAAGCACCCACACCTCAAACCCCTGCCCCAGCCCTGAGCCTCCTCCTGCTCCCTAACTTCTCCCCAGACCTGATGCTCCAACGCCTGGCCCTGAGCTCTCTCCTGAACCCTAAGTCCGTAACTCCCTCCTAGATCTTACACCCTACCCCTGATCCCCAGACCACTTCAACATCCTAACTCCTGCCCAGACCCCATCCTCCACCCTCAACGTCCTGTCCTGAGCCTACTTCTGCACTCCAAACACCTTGGCCCCAGCCCGGAGGGCTCTCGTGCACCCAAAATGCCTCATCCCCATCCAACTCCAAAGCTTGCACCCCCAGTTGGGGGCCCCTACCTCATCCTGCACTCGTCCTCCTGCCTCAACCCATAACTCCCTCCCACACTCTGAAGCCCTCATTTTTGGCCCTAACCTGGATCTTAGGGGGACCCACAAAAGCTAATAGCCCAGGGCTATCAGAAGAGTTAATCCAGCCCTGCACATACTGTTAAATTGGCTCACAGAAGACAAAGAGCAGATGCTGATTAAGAAACTAGGTAAGAAGCTTCAGTCTAGAATTTGGCCAGCACCAAGAGGCTCAGGCTGCATATGTACCAAGCTCAGTTACTCTACAAGTATGTCTGTCTTGTAACTAAATTTCTCCTGGGGCGGAGGGAGGATTACAAAAGAGGCTTCTCCTCACACTCACATTCATGAACTTGAATTCTCTTTTAATCCTCAAGGAGAGACCTCTAAAGGAGATTCCCTGCATCAAAGCCACAGTGGTTTCTGAGAGTATCCCTGCCCAGCAGCCTCTCTGACCTGCCCCTTCTCATGAACTCTTTGTGAAGTCACCACCTCCCAGCTGCCTTCGACCAATAAGCTGAGGTGCTGCAAAAGCCCTTGTGATGTCACGACCGCATCCATCCCTGCCTTAAGGGCAATGTCCTATTCCTGAACAACCCCTTTGGATGTTTGAGCTGCTTCTCCTGTGTCCACTTACTCGGTGTTAGCTATGGGGATCAAGCAGGCTACACATACAAACATTAGAGGCTGCTCAATGTGCCAGCATAAATTTGCAGACTTTAAGGCAGTGGTCTATAACCTTTTTAAGCACAAGATCTATTTTTAAAGGGCAACCCAGGATATACCTCAAACCCACACACACCCTTACCCTACCTTCTTTCCCGCTCCATCTCAGATGCCCCTCCCTGCTCATACCATCCTCCCTCCCTTCCTCATTCTCACTTTTGCCAGGCTATGGCTGTGGGTTGGGGTTCAGGCTATGGTCTTGGGCCAAGGGGTTTGAAGTGTGGGAGTGCTCTGAGCTGAGTATGGGGCAGTGGGTTCAGATACACAAGGGGGGTCAGGGTGCAGACTCTAAGAGGGAGTTTGAGTGTGGGGAGAGGGGAGCTTAGGTAAAGCACAGAGGTTTAGTGTATAGGAAGGGTTCAAGTCTGGGGCAGAGGTTTAGGACACAGGCTCTGGCACAGTTTAGACAGCACCCAGGCAGTGGCACAGTGAAGAAAAGGAACACCCCTGACCTAGACCAGTGCCACTCCTAAAAGCATGTTGACAAGAATCTGACGAAGTGGGTCTTTGCCCACGAAAGCTGATGCTCCAATAAATCTGTTAGTCTATATGGTGCCACAGTATGTCTCATTGTTTGTACCCCTAAAAGCGTGTCCTGCACCAGTTTCACGCACTGGCCCCTGTCCACAGATACTACCACCCCAACTCCCATTGCCTGCGGTTTCCCACTCCTGGTCCATGAGAGCTGCAGGTGCGTTGTCTGCAGCCAAGGGTAGTATGTTGAAACCCTCTGCATCACCTACCTCAGGGAACACAGCAACATGCTGGCCACTACCGGGAGTGGCGCAGGGGTAGGGAAGTGAGGAGCTAACTTAGCCATGCTGCACCACCAGACTTTTAGCAGCCAATCTTCAGTTTGGCCGCAAGAGTCTCCTGGAGATCAAACCCAATTCCAGGAGGCTCTCTACTGGCGTTCCCTCTTTTTCCATCCATGTGTTGTAATTAATTTTATTATGTATTTGGTTATTGAGATAACGTGCCGATGTTCACTACCAGTAGAAACTAAAAACAGCAAACTGCAGCCAATGGGAGCCACAAGGCTCTGTGGCTGCAGAGCCAATAAATAAACAAACCAGAGTGGCCAGTTAGCAGGTTTCTCAGAGTGGATCTGTGGAATATATATACATTTAAATTGCCACAGTAATAATTACTCCAGTCATGACAGGTTAAGCATTTGAGAATTCACTACTCAAATAATTAAATTGAAGCATAAGAGAGAGATAAAATTTATGAAATGTACAGTCCAGTCAAAAATCTGAAATAACATACTTTGAAAGAAGTAGTAACAAGTATGTGTTGGGTCAGGAGAAGAGAGACAGGGATGAACATTGCTTCTTTAAATATGGTAAGCACATTCAGACATAGAAGCAGCTGTCAGCAAACACTCTTCAGTCCGAGCCTTGTCACACCCCCTCTGCTCTGTGGCGATAAAAGTGGGGAGGAGCGGGACACTCTGGTATCATCCCTTTCTCTACCCAGGAAGCAGGATGCTATGGGAAGGGGTATGTCTCCAAGGCAGAGGGCAGGAGGAGCAAAGCAGAGGGAGGAGGGGCATCTGAAGTGCCAGCCTCCTGGCCAAACCAGCCAAGATCACTCTCAGAGGCTCAGGATCGACCGTAGATCCCAATCTACTGCATGATGATCTCTGCTGTAGATCAGTTCAATATCTAGTTTTATGGAAAAATTATTTAACTGTCCTATCCATACAGCAGAGCAAATTAAGATTCCCAGAATTAAACTGGTCAGACCTCTCATGATAAGTTTGTGTCTCAGTCTTTAAGTGCATGCTTTGAACATCAGTTAACAATAATCAGATAAGAACAAAAGCTCTAGTTCTGTGCTGGCTTTGTTTTAGTTGTCTCAATGATGGACACACTATCAAAACTGACACTACCTCTACTCTTTCCTGATAGCTGTTCTTAAACCTCTGGAAATGTTAAAAGATTGTTTTTTATGTGAAGGATTGCTGATTGATTCTTAAATATGGAAAAAGAGTTTTCTATGTCCATGTGCCATAACTGCAGCATTAACTTGCTAAATGTTGGGCCCTAGAAAATAGGGCCTAGTGCTAAGGCAGACCAAAAAGAAGCTAACAAAGGTTTCTGGGTAGGCCCTGAGCAGAACTGGAGACATGGTTCGAGCGAAGGCGCACCCTACATACTTGCTTGGGTTGCAAAGGTACGATAAGTGAAAAATTGCATTCTTGTACCTGCTGTGAGTGGAACAGCTTGTTTTGAGAACTGATAAACTAACTCTCTGTTTCTGTTCTCCCTCACTGATCTTAACTCCCTGTTTCTGCCCTCCGTTTATTCCTAACTCCTTGTTGTCTGGTACCTGTCTTCTGGGCTGATAAGAAAGTTGCTGATGCATTATGAATTGCTTAAGGCCACGATGTATAATTGTCTAGGTATGCATGAGCACTACAAGCTTCCAACTAGTTAAGGGGGGGGGGGGTGTTTGGACAAACGTTTTATGACGCGACGGAACTGTCTATATAAACCTACTTGTTACTGAAATCGGGGCTGGTTCTCTTTGGAGATGGGCCGCTCTCTATTGTTCTGTGCACTCTTCAATAAACAGCTTGTAATTGGACTTTGCTGGTGTTGCCTGTCTCTTTGCGGCCAGACAAGGAACCGAAGCCGTCTGGGTTCGAGTCCCCGACATAAGGATGTAGTAATTGTGAACTTTGCCCATGCAAACAGCATATTTCAGGCAAATTTACATGTGGAGAATATAACTGTTTGTTGTTAAGTATTTTAGGTTGAAAAGATTCCCTTGCTTGAGCATCATCTTCGAGAAAAAGGCGCCAATTGGGAAACTTCGGCCTCCAGAATTCAACCCAACCCCAAGTCCGAACACTGTTTCAAACGATCTCTTAGAGGCAAGTATCAGAGGGGTAGCCGTGTTAGTCTGAATCTGCAGAAGCGATGAGGAGTCCTGTGGCACCTTAGGCAAGGGGCTTTTGGAATGTAGCCACAGAGCTCATTATTCAGTTCCCTGTCCCAAACCCAGGAGCCCCTCTGCTGCCGCACGGAATCTTGGAACGGGACTCTAGGGATTTGGCGGCCATCTTGATTGAGACTTCATTCCTATGGAAAGTAACAGATGGCGGCCATCTTGACTAAGGGCGGCTCCAGCTTCAGTCACGGGATTTAGGCCACACCTGTCGAAGGGCAAAAATCCACCGGAACGCTAAAACACCACGAGCCGTTGAACGCCCTCCCCTCCCCCAATCATCGCGAGAGTTGGTGCGGAGGCGGGGGGGGCCGCCGTGGCCCCCGCCCCTCCCATGCCTGAGGGAGGAGCCGCGGGACTGGGCGCAGCTGCTGAGCGTGGCTATAGCGTAGCAGGCCTGCAGCATGGGGGTAGGTGAGTGGGGGGGCGCGGCGCCTGGGGTCGGGGGCTGCAGCGCGCTGACTCCATCCGCCTCCCTTTGCCTTGCAGAAGATCGGGCTGCAGCTGAAAGCGACGCTGGAGAATGTTACCAACCTCAGGCCGGTGGGGGAAGACTTTCGCTGGTACTTGAAGGTACGGCGTACCCTGCTAGCAAGGGGGGGGCACAGTGCTAGGCAAGGGTGAACCAGCCCTTTTGCCCGATGCAAGCCTGTAGGGCGCACCAGAAGAAAGGGCCCAATACCGCGCCGTCAAAGCGGCATCACACGAAGAGCAAAAAAAGTAGGGACCCCTGGAGCGGTCTTCTCGTCTGAGCCCCCGCCGCTGATGAAACGTTAGATCCGCTTCCCCAAATTAGCACGGGAGAGCGAGGGAGGACCCCTCTCAGCCTGGCCTTTCCGTGATTCTCAGTTGCGTGGGTTTGCACCAGAAGCTTTTTTTTTTTCTCTCTCTACTATTTTCCAAACCCCTGGACAATTGCACGAAGTATTGGTAGCTAATGGAAGTCTGCAGTGTGGACCAGTGTCGAATGGTTCCTACGTGACCAGTTGTCATGGCACTTCATTGCCATCTCAGATTTATTTTTGGCAGTATCTAGTTGATTATATGGTGTTAGCGGTATCATGGCACATTTCAAGCATGTTCACTGTGTCATCAGTGGTTCCCAACCTGTGAGCCGTGGACCTCTGGTGGTCTGTGACGGTACTTCAGGATGTCTGTGGAAAGTCTAAAAGTAAGGATGGGGCCGATCCTTTTTTTTATATGCGTTTTTTTTCCCTCCCCCTGTGATGGAGGTCCTTGAAATGTTAATAGATTAAAAAGAGGTTCATCTGCTCAAAAAGGTTGGGAACCACTGATCTAAATAAAAGTAAGGATTTGATTTAATCCTCAAGTTGTGTCAAGATTTGTTTGTTAATGTAAGCACTTTCTGGAAGTTGAGTGACTGTCATATGTATGTTGCTGACAGACAACCCCCCAACCTGAAATGAATTCTTTCCAGTAACCATGCCACACAGCCACATCATAAGCATCCAGAAACCCAGCCCTGAAACCAAACACAGTGCCTACTTTGCCCACATATCTATACTAGCAAATTCGTCACTGGAGCCAAAAACATAAGGTACAAAATCAAAAAGTCATTTGACTGCATATCCAATAATGGAGCCAAAAACATAAGGTACCAAATCAAAAAGTCATTTGACTGCATATCCAATAATTTGATCTATGCCAGCAATGCCCCACTGCTATATATATTGGACAAACTGGACAGTCTCTGTGGGAAAGAATCAATGGACACATCAGATGTATGTAAAGCAAACATACAGAAACCTATTGGGGAACACTTTAATCTTCCTAATCACTGTTTAAAAGATCTTCAAGTGACTGTCTTATCACAAGCCAGTTCTATTAGCCAGATACACAGAGAAACATTGGAATTAGAGGTAATGGGCAAGTTCAATTCAAATGCTAATGGACTCAATCATGATGAAGGATGGTTGGGGCACTACCAGCTTAACAGCCGATGAAGGTGCAAACAGCTCTATGTGTGGACTCCTATGTCAAGAAGGATACTATCAATTGACTTTGATTCTTATCAGCTTCGTTTTAACTACCCAATCTTCAGATACTTACTGATTCCCTCTACCTCCCTGTCTCTGCGCCCCCCTGTCTCCCATTTATTGTGGGTCTGCACATCCTAAACTCAAAACTCTGGTCATCTGAAGAAGTGGGCTGTGCCCACGAAAGCTCATAATACCATCTACATGTTTTGTTAGTCTATAAAGTGCTACCAGACCATTTGTTGTCGTATATATGTTTACATTAAAGATCAGTTATGGTGAATACAATCATGGACATTCCTCTATCCAAATAATATTCATCATTCTCTCTTGTTCTTATGACTTCAATTTCATTTTTAAGTTTTAATTGGCGGAAGACTAGCTTGGTTGACAAACTGGTGGGATGTATTATTCCCAGCTTTATTTATTGGCTCCTGCATGTAATCTGTTTCCTTTCTCAGGAAAATTCCCTGAAAAGATCCTCAAGTTGTGTACATTGTTATAGCTCAGTAAAAAAAACTAAGGGAGCTATGAAAAACGACCCCAGTTTAGGTTCTGGACCCTGATTCTTCAGGGCAGCTGTCCTACGACCTTTCAACACAAAAGGGGTTTAGAGTTAAGTCTAAGAATGGCTAGAACTGTTTTATTGAGCAACTTACTAACAACTTTATTCTCTGTATGTTTTTCTTTTCCAGATGAAATGTGGGAACTGCAGTGAGATTTCTGAAAAATGGCAATATCTGCGATTAATGGTAAATTGCTGAACAGTAAAATGTTAGTTTAAAAACAAACTAAAAAATCCAGTGCATACTATGTAAAATTGAATTTGATGGAAATGGGGAATATGCTACCTTAAATGCTGCATAAAGCAGCTTTTTAATAGGGATGTGAAGGGTTGACTTGGCATCACGTTTTAGGGATATCCAGCACACTGTGGGTGGGAGCCTGCTCCAGCCTGTAGTATTTTAAATTGCTTTTTAACAGTATTTAATTGCTGACTAAACAACATTTTACATCCCTACCTTTTAATAATAATCTTTATTTGGGGGTACTGTCAGACTTGATGTTCGCAAGTATTTTGAGATTCTTGAATGAAATGTGCTGTAGGAATGGTTGGTTTTGATGGTTGTTATTTTAAGTCTTTCTTGAAAAGCTTCCCCTCATCAAATCTACTTTCTTGGTTGAGGAAACTTACTGGCTTTAAAGTGCCCTTGCAGCTGCATTTTACCAGTAGAGCATTTCCTTTTTGCTAATGATAAAGCAGGTTTTCTGGAAGCTTAGATAACCTGATGGGGGAAGAGGAGTAATGATAATAAATTAACTTATGCAAGGTAGTGGTGTTGTTTTATAGCATTTCTGTCATGCACATCACTGTATCTGACTTCCTTCTCATATTTACTATTTCAAATAGAGAATTGTTATCCCCATTTTTACAGATAGGGAAACCGAAGCAGACAGGTGAAGTGATTTGCCGAAAGTAATACAGGAAGTCTGTGGTCTAATTTGGAATTGGAACCTCAGACTCTCATCCTGAACCACAACTCCATTCTTCTGTTCTTTCAGGTCCCAGTTCTGCAACCTGTTACATGTAGGCACAACAGTGTGCAGTATTAGTGCTCTAATCAGTAGTACTTGCAGGCTGGTTGAAGGTTAAATACATTCTATTCTTTCCATAGAATATTTATCTGTATTGTCAAGACACATTCTATATGTAATTTATTATTTACAATTTAGTATGTAATGTATAGTATTTCTTTAACCATAGCATTGTGAATTATAAATATTCCTTCTCTTGGGGGGGAGGGGGACCGGGACCATTAACAACATACATATATATAATCACGTTCGTTTGCCATTGTCCTTTAAAAAACACTTTTGTCACTATATATATCACGTTAGTTTGCCATTGTCCTTTAAAAAACACTTTTGTCACTACACTGGTTTTTGATTGCTCAATTAGAACACAAAAAAAGTTGACAAAAAGTGATGGCTCTATTTGTAATTTTTTTAGGACAGTGCTCCTCTTAAGGGAGGCAGAGGGAGTGCCACTATGGTGCAGAAATGCAAGCTGTGTTCCAGAGAGAATTCCATTGGTAGGCTTTTTCACGTGATTTAAGGAATGCTATCAACTTGATTTTTTTTTATACTAATTTATAAAAGCATTTTAAGTGAGCATCTATTAAATAGAATGTCCTAACTTTCTGTTATAAGTTGCTTTTTAGCCATGTTTATTGGGGTTTACTTTCCCCTACTTGCTGATGCTTGTCTTAAAAAAAACACACACACACACACACACACACACACACACACACACACAATATGTTTGTCTTTATGTTTGTGCAAGTTATTTTTAAGAAAAGGATAAAAACACACATGGCCAAGAAGTTTCTGGATAACTTCTGTACTTTCTAGATTTTTTTTTTTCCGTTATCAAACTTTGTTATTAATGTAGGGATTCACAGTGCACAGAAGACTGATGGTCTAGCTAGTCAGTATCTAACCAGTGTTGGATAGTTCTTAAGGAAAGCTCCCCTCCCCTAATATCCATAAATAAGCAGTGTCTTATGGGAAGGAATTTTTTTTCCTGTTCTGTAGCTGGTGATCGTCTCCAATAGGGGTTCTCAAAATTTAATTTATACTATGACTCCCTTCTGAAAGCAAAAGTTACTTCATGATCCCAGGTCAGGGAACTGAAGCTTGAGTCGGCCCAAGCTCCGCTGCCTCAGGTGAGGAGACTGAAGTCTGAGCCCCACTATGCTGGACAGCGGGGCCCAAGCTAAAGCTCAAGGGCTTCAGCCCTAGGCAGGTTGCCTGTAACCTGAGTCTTGCTGCCCAGGGCTAAAGCCTTTGGGATTTTGCTTTTGCCCTGAGCAGTGGGACTCTGGCTTGAGCCTTGAACCCCAACTAGTCTAAGCCAGCCCTGGTGACCCCATTCAAAGGTGACCTACAGTTTAAAAGCCACTCATCTACACCCTAGCATGAATTTCCATTTATCTTTTTAAAGCCCTTTTTGCTTTTCAATTTCATTGTGTGACCTCTCGCCTTTACCATATGGTAGAAGGATAAAAAGGAGCACCTGATTCATCCTTCATTGTATTTTGTGCCCTTAGCATTCCCAACAAAAATAGACTCCTTGTCTCTTCATCACCTATCTTTTTTTACAAAATAAGGACTAATTCTGAAAACCTTATACTTACACAGGTACACTTATTGACTTCAATGAAACTACTTTTAGGAGTAAGGGTTTCGGGAGTGGATCCCAAAAATCCCTGTCTGGTACTGGTTGAACCTCTCTGGTCCAGCAATATCTGTGGTCTGGCAGGACCACAGATGTTGCTAGACCAGAGAGCCCCAGCCACAGAGGTTGAGAGCAGCTAGAAGCAGAGCCGGTCTGGTCGACAGCAGCACCCAGGGCCAGTGACGGGGGGGCAAGGAACCCTGGGAGCAGCTCCTGTTGCCCCACACACAGAGCCAGGTGCAGGAAGCAGAGCCCTGGGAGCGGGCTAGGGGCAGCAGAGCCTGGCAGAAGTGTTGGAAGAGGTCAGACCTCCATGTTGTCCCCGGCAAACTCCCTTGGGTCTGGCCTACCTTGGTCCAGCAACCTCCCTTGTTCAGGACCACTCCAGTCACGAGGGTGCCAGACCAGGGAGATTCAACTTGCATTTGGAAAACTAATAGCATCCACACAAGTGTCTGTGTTAAGTCTTCACTTTCCTCTCAGGATATTAGAAACTTAGTTTCATGCAAGGAGCTGCAAGCTGTCTGAATTGGTACTTAGGACGTTTCTACAAAGTTCTGTCCACCCCAAGTTAGATTTTTTTCTCTAAATTGAGTTGTGACATTGTAAAGGTATGTCTATGTAAAAGTTTACTGCAGAAGCATGCAGGAAAAGAAAATTGATATTTAAAATGTTTGCTATGTAGCCAGTTCCTATGGAATAAATACAACAGTAATAAGCTAGTTAAAAATACTGGAAGGTATTTACAAGTTCTGTACTGCCCTATACAGTGACTACAAATGTAGATGTGGGCAGAGGCATAGCAAGGGTGTTATGCGCCCGAGGGCAAAGGAAAAATTTGCGTTGTCGTCGTCCCCCCGTCCCCCCCACCATGTGGCAGGGCTCTGAACCTTCTGTACCGCTAAGCCTGACCTGGGGAGGAGGGGAACCTGTACTGCATCTTCCCCTTCCCCCTCCAGTTTGGGGCCAGACTCCCGCATGCACTAACCTGCCAGCAGAGATGGAGGAGGGTCAGGCTAGGAGCAGAGAGGCAGGGAGGAGGCTCTAGCTGCTGCTGGCAGGCGGAGTAGGAGCAGGCGAGCTGAGGGATGATGGAAAGCAGAATGGGATTAAATTGCCTCTCCCTAGCCTGGTGCCCAGGGGCAACTGACCCCTCTGGCCCCACTACGCCACTGCTCCCCCCTCCTGTAGATCTGTCATCTTATGCATGTGCTGAGAGAGCCCTCCCATGCAATTAGTGTCTGTGGCACCTGCTTCTGTGGGAAGTCTCAATGCTGCCACATTCTCCTCCAAAGACGGGGATTCCCAAAGCAAGCCCTTGCTGCTGACCTCCAAGGCGTCCACAGGTCCAGTCTCCTTTCAATGGGCCCACTTCCCAGGGCTCATTGGTCTTGGATCTGGCTTCCCTCCCCTCTCAACTACCCAGAGGTACTTGCCTTCCACCTTATCCATTCCCACCTCATTCACCCCACAGGGACAGTCTCTACCTCACTTGTTTAGGGACTATTCTACCAAGATGTATTACAAAGTTTCCATGTAAAAGGACTCAATACAAAGCTAAAAACTACCGTGAGAGAATGATTAATACAGAAACGTGTCTACATCTGCTGCAGGGAGACACCTGTGCCTGCCTCCACCCCTCTCCTCCAGAGACTACATTCCCGTTGCAAAGCAGCGGAGGGAAAGGAAAGAGGCTGAGGCCCATTCAATGGGACTGAAGCAGCCATGAGCAAGCCACACCCAGGAGCCGTTCCCCTGTCCATTGCTGGTGCTGTGTTGCTTCAGGCACGCTGAAATGCCGTCACCTCTGGGGTGGGCTGGACAGCTGTTTAGCACCTGCACAAGGGGTTTCACGCAGGGAGCAGTGTGAACTGCCTTCCTGCAGAGCCCCCATCAGAACCACTGTGTCCCTCCTGGCTTAGGAAAAGAATAAACAGGATGGCTGTGTCTACATTGGCATGATTTTGCGGCAAAAACATGCTGCCTGTCTTCACTGGCGGGGAGTTCTTTCGCAAGAACACTGACATTCTAATGTGTGAAATCAGTGCTTCTTGCGCAAGAACTATGATGCTCCCGCTCAGGAATAAGCCCTCTAGCGCAACAGTTCTTGCGCAAGAGGCCAGTGTAGACAGGCAACATGAATTTCTTGCACAAGAGAGCCCAATGGCTAAAATGGCCATCGGAGCTTTCTTGTGCAAGAGAGCGTCTACACTGGCATGGATGCTTTTGTGCAAAAGTAGATCTCTTGTGCAAAAGCACATGCCAGTGTAGACGCTCTCTTGCGCAAATACTTTAACGCAAAAACTCTTGCATTAAAAGTATTTGTGCAAAATCTTGCCAATGTAGATGTAGCCAAGGAGTGGAAATTAACCCACCCAGTCTCACATCCCCTAGGCAGGGAATGAGCCACCCACATTAGGCCCCAGCTGGAGTATCTCGTCCAGTTCTGGGCGCCACATTTCAGTGTATGTGTTAAATGAGAAATTACTGTACAGAGGGTTTGGTGAGAGAGGAAAATTATTATCAGGTCTGTGGTAGAGGTGTTAGCCTGTACCACTGCAACCTCCACATTGCTATTTATAAAATACAACTTAGATGGGGCTACTATAAGGTGGGTACATAACTGGCTGGATAACCGTACTGAGAGAGTAGTTATTAACGGTTCACAATCCTGCT